GCATGGCTATGGGGGGTGGCCCCGGCCCTGGGCATGCGGCTATGGGGGTGGGCTGCCCTCGGGCGCGCAAGTGTCCCCGCCCCCTGGCGCCCCGCGGGCGAACGGCCACACCCCCTGGCGCCCGACAACCTCAAAAGGTTGGGGACCACTGCGCTAGGGGAATTGTTCAGGAGTACCAGGGAAAGGCAAGAAGAAAAGCAATGGGACCAAGATTCAAAAGGAGGGGAAAGTCCATATAATCCTCAGGAGGGGTTTTTGGTGACAGTGCTCTCTGGAGAAAGGTGTGGAATTGTGGGCAAAGGAATTGCCTCTTATTTGATTCCTCCTTGGGGTTCAGACAAATGGACGTTCACCTGCCTCCTTCCTCATTTTCCCTCCTTGCAACAAGCCTCCCAAACACTGGCTAAACTGTCTAGGTCCAAAAATGCAGGGGGAGGCGGGAGAAGGGGGGGAGGGATGGAAGGAAACAGAGTCTGGATCCTTACCGGAAAGAGGGGCCCCCACAAGGGAACCAGCACTCTCTATCATTTGCATGAGCCCGATGCCCTCCATGATGTGCACTGTTCCCACAATCTCTGCCAGGCCGGAGAACTGGAGGGGTACCAGAGCACCAGCGAAGAAGCCGTAGCAGATGCAGAGGCCCATCAGGAGAGGGTAGCTCCGCCCCAGTGGCACGAGGGCTATAGAGAGGCCTGTCAGGATGGTCCAGAGAGTCAGGCTGTGAACCAGGCGGAGGGCTAAACGGTCGGCCAGCCAGCCACCTGCCACGCGGCCACACAAGTCAGCCACTGAGGCAGAAGACATGAGGAAGGCGGCTTGGTATTCGTCAAAGCCAAGCTCCCGGGCGTGGGGCACCAGGTGAATGTACGGCACATAGTAGCCAGTGTCCACTAAGACAAAGGCAATGGCAAAAATAAGAAAGGGACCATGGCAGGCCAAGCGCAGCCGGCGGAGGGAGGAGAGGGCCTGGAGCGGCAGCCAGCAGGCTTCCGGAGCAGCCACATTGCCCTCCAGCTCTAAGGGTCTCAGCAGGGCGCCAGCAGCCACCAGATTGAAGGAGACACCGGCCATGATGAGCAGGGCTCCCCGCCAGGCATAAGTGTCCACCAGCACCTGGAAGAGTGGGGAGAAAGCGAAGGAGGCCAGGCCGGCCCCTGAGACGGCCAGGCCCATGGCGAATGTCCGGCGCTTGGTGAAGTACCGGGCCACAGAAGCCAAAGAAGGCGTGAAGACCAAAGACCAGCCCAGACCTGCAGTGGGGACAGAAAGGCAACAAGACCAGAACCAGGACGACTGGCCTGGGTGGGTCTAGTACAGGTGCTGGGCAGGTGGGAGACATAAGAACATAAGCATGGCCAGATTGGGTCCATCTAGCCCAGTGTCCTGTCTTCCTACAGTGGCCAATGTCAGGTGCCTCAGAAGGAATGAACAGAGCAGGGAATCAGCAAGTGATTCATCCCCGATTGTCCATTCCTAGCTTCTGGCAGACAGATGCTTGGGATACCATCCCTGCCCATCCTGACTAACAGCCATTGATGGACCTATCCTCCATGAATTTATCTAGCTCTTTTTTGAATCCTGTTAAAGTCCTGGTCTTCACAACATCCTCTGGCAAGGAGTTCCACAGGTTGACTGTGTGTTGCATGAAGAAATATTTCCTTGTGTTTGTTTTAAATCTGCTACCTATTAATTTAATTTGGTGACCCTTACTTCTTATGTTTTGGGAACAAGTAAACAACTTTTGCTTATTCACTTTCTCCACACCAGTCATGATTTTACAGAAACCTTAGTCATCGCCTTTCCAAGCCAAAAAGTCCCAGTCTTACTAATTTCTCCTCACATGGCAGCCATTCCAGACCCCTCATTATTTTTGTTGCCCTTTTCTGAACTTCTTCCAATGCCAAGGTATCTATTTCAGATGAGGCAACCACATCTGTACACAGTATTCAAGATGGGGGCATGCCATGGATTTATATCGAGGCAGTAAGATATCTCTGCCTCATTCTCTATCCCTTTCTTAATGAGTCCTAATATTCTGTTTGCTAGACTGGGAAGGATGGCACATGGAACAGAGGGAAAACTGACATCGGCTGGGCCATTGTCCAGGGTGTCTAGCCCATTAGCACTGGAGTAGGGGTGGGACCATTAACATTTAGAGACGCCATGTCAAGTCTGGTCTGGGATGGGAGGGACTCCTGTGACTGGGGGGTCTAGGTATTGGTTGCACTGCACTGGATTCTAGGCATTTTCTCTGTCCTTTCTCCAGGTGCCCAGTGTGCACATCTTGCCTGGGATCTGACTGACTGCCCCATCTGGAGAACTGGTCTATCCTGGGCTAGTTGAGAGATTGGGCCAAGGCCACTCTAGGTCACGCTCGTGAGCATGTAGATCAGGGCTAGAGCAACCATGGATGATCTAGAACAGAGGGTTCTAGATCTGGGAAGGGTCAGTAGAACCCAGGCCACAGGCTCCACACAGGTCATGAACCATAGACATGGGATAGAAGAGGAGGTTCTCCACTGCATAGAGTGCCATGGTCTAGCTCGACCACCAGGTATGGGCTGGATGGAGAATAGGCAGAAGTGATGGACCAGGAGGCCAGGTTAGGTGGTTCCCCTCTTGGTCTTAATGTCCAGAACCTGGGAGGAAGAATGGCTGGAGAACCCTACAATGACTCTAACCTCAAGGCATGAACGTGTATGTACCACAGAACAATCTCAGAGCTGCCAGATGCCAGGATTTTACTCAGAAGACTCCATTTTCCAGGCATCTATGGGCCAGACCTTTGGAAACCCCATGGTGCACCGGGCTACCCAGAAGCCCTTGCTCCCAACCTGGAGAAGGGACACTTCTGGGGGAAACTGAGGCAGGGGCTCAGGGTGGAACCTACCTGAAAGTAGCCCGATACTGAGGTACAGGTGGGTCAGGCAAGTGGCAAAGGAAGCCAGGAGCATGCCCAGCCCTGAGAGGAAGCCCCCGGCCATCACCACAGGGCGTGCGCCATACTGGGTGCTGAGGGTACTGCCCACTGGACCTGCAGGGGACAGCAGAGAGAAGCCAGTTGAGGCCCCGTTACATGTCAGTACAGCTGACTCTGTGGGAGGTGTGCGGTTGGGAGTGGGCCTGTCCCAGGAGAGGACGCTGTGGGAATGGGGCAGAGGCGGCAGCTCGGGGTGGGCATGCCTGGCTACTCCATACCTGCCCACTTACCCCTCCCTTCAGCATCCGTCACTCACCCCCCAGTTGCAGCACGGCAATCCCGATGGACGTCACCCAGGACACCCGTCCTGACAGCTCCCCAAAGTACCCCATGAACTCCACGAAGAAGATGCCGAAGCAGCGGATCACCCCGAAAACCAGTGCCGACTGCAGGAAGCCAGCCAGCACCACCATCCAGCCCCAGCCTCCATCAGGGGGCTGCAGGGGCACAGGGTGTGCCATGGGGTCCTCCCTCGCTGTTTCCTGGAGGCGGGAGATCAAAGTGGAGGCAGGGGGGGGGGGGGTGAAGAACA